TGTTGGAGGATACTGGGCCTCCCCAGGCTCGTGCCCCGATGCATACGCACCAGCGGTAGGTCGCCCCTGCCTGCTATTCAGGACTGTTGACAACACAGGCTATGCAAGCTAATCACAACATGGCAGTAAATCAGTTTTAAAAAAGCCTTCTAATCCATCATGATCTTCCCTCAAAAGTCAAAATTGATGTCGGCACTCTTTAGTCTTATTAAAGAAACCCTGTGTCAGATACCTATGTCCTTTACTATGAGCTATGGCTTCCCCCTAAGCGCCACCTCTCTTGCTGTGACACCACTACTGTGTCCCTGTGGTGGGGTAGCAGCTGACGGTTGGAATCGGAGCACGCAGTGGGAAGCGTGGCACCCAGAAGGGGCAGATACCAGCATCCCCTTTAACTCTGCAAGACAGCCAAGGTAGGAGTCGCTGTCCACCTTTGTGGAAAGGAGGAGTATATGAGAAATAGCTGGTGGAGCTAATCATGACAATACCATTATGGTTTAAATGCTTGATGAATAGAAAGGTTCACTTTACAGTGTAATGGCCTTGCCTTACTGCATTACATTTTACAATATCGGATTATTTTTTAATTTTTTTTTTAAACCACTGTATAATTCAGGGTTGTACACGAACGTTTTGATATCGCAAGGCCATTTAATTTGCACGTTGCTTTCCAGCAAAGAACAGGGACCAATGCCGGTAGAGAAGAAGAAAAAAGGGAAGAGGAAAGCAGATTCATTTGAAGAGGGCATAGAGAGTGAGTCTTTGCTGAACTCCGCATGTCCGGGCACAGAGGAGTTTGCAGAGTCGCTGGACAGCCAGGTACCACATATCCGGTTTATCCCTTACCAGCCAATGCCAAATATTATACTGTTTGTAAAAAGTTTGGTTGGTTTTGTACAACAGAAAGTAAAAAGTTTATCATATGAATTAAATGTAATCCATGTTTGCAAAATATACTGCAATACGTGTTGTGTTATTGGTTTTAGTTGTTTTTTTATTTATTTGTGTTTTTATATATCTTTTTCTTTTGATATTGTCTGTTTAAAGAAAAACTTAATAAAAAAATGCATTCATGTACCCTATTAACAAACATATATGTCTCTTTTGTGCATCACTCAGCTGTAGATCCTCAAATCATCTCTGAATTGGTGCTGACACTGTCCTTGCTTCTGGAGGGTGGCTACTTTTCTTCCCCATGGTCCTTGTGTGTGTTGTATAGTAGTCACCGCTCCAAGCTCACTCCCATGATGGACTACACTCTCGATACAAATTGGTAAACTAAAAGTGAGATTGTAATTCATCATGGGAGCGAGCTTGGAGTGGTGGCTACCTTACAACACACACAGGGACCATGGAGAACAAAAGTAGCCCCCCTCCAGAAGCAAGGACAGTGTCGGCACCAATTCAGAGATGACTTGAGGACCTACAGCCGAGTGATACATTTAACTTTTTCAGCACTAACTCATTTCTATCCCTCTACAGAAACGGAGGTCTGGGCGGCAGGTGAAGAGACGGAAATACAATGAAGATCTTGATTTTAAAGTGGTGGATGATGATGGGGAAACTATTGCTGTGTTGGGACCCGGGAGAGCATCTGCATTGTCTGCATCCACACTGGCATGGCAGGCTGAGGTGAGACCTATAGAAGATATATATTCAGTCATTGCCGGGAGTCCAAATTAGCACTGGTGTGTACTATACCATACAGTTTGGCAGAATTATTGAAAAATAACGATGACGTTTTCTATGCATAACTCTACTGGAAAAAATGTGTGTTATTTTATTTCAATTGTTTGTACATGGTAACCTCATTTAAATCTAAACCCCTTACTTAACAGTACTATGCAAAGATATTTTAGACAATTGTGATCTTCCAACCTTGTGGCAACATTTGAGGGAAGACCCTTTTTTTGTCTCGGCATAGCTGTGCACAAAGCCAGCACCATAAAGACATAGCTTGATGAGTTTGGTGTAGAGGAACTCAAGTGGCCTGCGCAGAGCCCTGACCTAAAACCAAAAAAATTGAGGAACTTTGGGATGAATTGGAAAACCAACTGTAAACCAGATCTTCCCCTCCAACATCAGTACTTCACCTCATAAATGCACTTTTGGCTAAATGGGCACATATACAGGGGCGTCCCGAGACCGGGTGTCACCCAGGAGCTATTCAATTGACGCCTACCGGCGGCCATCTTGGTGATGGACACCGGCAGAGAGAGGAGGGGACGCTCACCCGGCGGGGATGAGGTATGCAGCCGGGTTCCCTCCTCTCTCCTGACACGGTCGGGCTCTCGGCCCATGATCGAGTGCCTAAATTTAGAGGGGGTGACACCAAAATTACTTTGTCATTTTGGTGTCACCCCTCCAATGGTGTCACCCGTGTGCGGGCCCCCCCCTTGTGACGCCACAGTCCATACACACTCCAAAATCATTTTGAAAGCCTTCCTAGAAGAATGGAGGCTGTTCTAGCTGCAGAAGGGAGGCCAATTCTATATTAATTGCCTTTTCGTTTTGGAATGAAATGTCCAACAAGCTCTTACAGATGTGAAGTTTAGGTTTCTACACTTTTGGTGCTATAGTGTACTTCTACGGGAGTTCTGCAAAGAATGCCCTCAGGATGCTGTATTGGAAGGAAGAAGCTATCGAATTTAATGACCATTTAAGAAAATCCCAGCGGCTGCAGATTGAAATGCAATGCTTGTTTTTAAATGGTTTGTGTAGAAATTGTCATATTAGGTTTTTAGCGAAAGTAGAGTTTTCATTTTAAAATGTGAAAATGAAATCGGAACTATTTTCGATAAACTCTGCGGTATTCTAGCAAAATTAATGCGTACTGAAAGTACATAATTCCCATTTATGAAGATTGCAGGGGTAGGATTATGTTGCGATTTCTTTGTGTAATTTTCCATGGCACGTTGTATCATTGTAGGAACCTCCTGAAGACGATGCCAATATAATAGAAAGGATCCTATCTTCGAGACTTGTTCAAAAAGAGGTGAGGTCCATCAGTGATCATTTGCTCACATGTTTTTGCGTTGTGTCCCTTTTCACTTTACAGAGGTGCCGATGTACGGAAAGATCTTCTGCACATGATCTACAGAAGCTGAAACTGTATTAGATTTGGCCTCATACGTTGATAACCCATTCTAAATCCAGGCATTTAAAGTGCCCAATGCCATTCTTCTTGCTATCCCATCTACTGCTACCTTTACATAGAAGCTGTTGTAAGCTCTTTATTGCTCCTTTTTTCTAACACCCCTAGATAGCAGCTGTGAAAGCTCAGGCCAAAAACTTCAGACTTTTGAATGTAAGATCAGTTCTGGCACAGTTAATAGTCTTCCTCCTTTTCTTCCTTCTACTTTTTTTTTTTCTTTGCTTGCTCTTGGTAGTCAGTCAATAGAAAAATTAACTAGTTTTTGCCGATGGGGAATGGAGGGATGAAGGAAGTGGGAAAAAAAGGCGATTTTTAACTGCTTCTCACAGTCGCTGTCCTGGGTCCTCATACTTGCCTACACTTTTCTTGTTTTTCAGATCATTCCTGCAGGATTGCCAGTGGAAGCGGAGGAATTTTATGTCAAGTATAGAAATTTGTAAGTCAACAATTTAAATGTATAATTATGTATTCTGCAAGTGGAATGTTGCACGCATTTAAAGAGTTCTCGGTAGTAAAACTCACCTCATTACATGATAATTAACATTCTTAAGGCTCCATGCATCTCTTCCCAAGCTGTGGAATCCTAAATGGTTTGTACCAAAATCTTCATTGCGCTTGAGCAGCCTGAATAGTGTTTATGGCATGTTAGAGATATGCTGAAATATGCAGCTTGCTCGGCTTGGTCGACGTTGCTCTTGCTACAATGCTCCCTTCCTCATAATAAGCCCTGTTATCTCAAAGACAGAAGTTCGGTCACCAAGGTAAAATGAACTCGCACCCCTCTCTGTGCTGTTAACTCTGCTATGTCTGTTGTACGGAAGTGGTCTAAGCAGTATATAATGAGTTATCACATCCTTCATTATGACCTCTATGGCCCTTAACCCCTTCATGACTGAGCTAGTTTTCAGGTTCTGTTCATAAATGACTGACACATTTTTTACATTTTTGCTGTGTGATTCTTCCACAGCAGTAATATACTTTCTTACTAAATGTACCCACACATATTATATATTGTTTTTTAGAGGACAGATAGGGCTATATAATTATATCACATATGTGTACCTAACAGGATACGTCTACTTTGAAACAAAGTGCACTTATCGTTTAGGCCCCTTTAAGGTGCTCACCCCTCCCTCCCTTCCCATGCACAGAGAAATAGTTTCTGAGATCCGACAGGCCCGTCCCTCTTTTGATTGCTTGCATCCTGCAGCGGACGTTTTCTCCTGGGCTGTACATCCACGTTGACCTCTATGGTGCTCCTCCTAACTCCATATCTCCTCTCTGGGAAACGAGTCCCATAGAAATCGATGGGCATGGTGATATACTGCACAGGCGCAGCCAGGAGAAGATGTCCCCTGCAGGATGTTAACAATGGAGCCTGTGCCTCTCAGAACTCTGTAAGTATTTATCTGTGCACAGGGAGCGTGTGATGTCACCTTAAAGGGGCCTAAAGGATAAGCGCATTTTATTTTAAAGTCCACTCATCCATTAATATTCGTATCCTCCTCTGACAGATCACATGCAGCGTGCAGAATGTTGCTCATTGGCTTCCCCTGTCTTTGTCAAAGGTCCTCTGGTGCATTCCCCTCTAGTGAAGGATGGAGGCAGCTCTGTTGACTGCAGGCGCGTTGCAGGATGTAATTAAGGCTCTATGCTGACCACGTGAAGTGGGGATTGTGATGTGTTGAGGGGGAGAGCTGGTTACATTGGAGAGAGTTGCAAGGTTTATTGGAGTGACACCAGTGTTGGTGAACACTGCTCTCTGGTTCACTACTGTATCATCATGCCAAGTGAATTAAAGGAGAGGTTTGGGGTCATGGAAAAAAATAAACCCACATACGTCTCTGCTGCAATGTCCTTCTGGCGCTCAGCTGTCCCATGCCGGCTCTAAGATCAAGAGTAGGCTAATCACATGGCTACTGATCCAACAGCTCTTGGTCTCTGATTTCAGTAGAGCCTCTGTTGTGATTTCCTCCTCTTCTCTCTTAATGCTCCAGTGATGATTTGAGCAACAGACAGGGAAAGGGGTTGGAGTTTCTGGCTCTCAGCCGAACGCCGAGAGGCAATGCCAGTTGTCAGACAGCTGGGGTGGATGCCGACAATATTATCTCTCAGTTGTGCCCCGTCAGTCGATGGCAGGTATGAACCCACTATCGGCTCACTTTACGGCATAGTAGTATGTAAGTAAAGGTACATCTGTGACCAAAAAGAGAAATATAGCCAAACAGGTTTGGCTTTACGTCTCCTTTTTTTAAGTCTTTTTAAGATCCTATCAAATCTTCTGAAGGATCACATGCAGATCAGAGTGCAGAAAGGTACTCACTTCAGACTTCCTATGGAAGGCACACTGATGGACGATGACTTGGGGCTGGTGATTAGCTGGTGCTTCTCTGATTAGAGTTCGGCAAAGGGCGGCTCAGATAATATATTATACGGAGTTATCAGCTGGGTGCAGATGCCCATCTGCCTCCGGTCCGCTGCTGGCAGCAAGTTATTATAAAGGCAGTGGCGAAAGCGGGACTTGTACACAGATCGTGTTTATAGTCTTTCTCTATGCTCACTAAAAAAACGTCCAGCCAATATTTAAAGCATGGATGGGCATAGAGTGCACCTACAGATATTGGAGGGCGTAGAAATGCTGCAGCCGAATGTTGCAGTGTGCAGGATTTAGAACGTGGGCAGATGAATCTAACAGGAAAGGGGGTGGCCAGGAATTGGGAAAATGACGGTGGCATATCATAAAGGGCTAGCGAAAGGCCTAGTTTCACTTTGGACTACAAAAAGAGTAATAGAATCCAGATATAATTTCATGTACACATTAATAGCAAGTCCTTTTAATTTTCTATTCTCTCTATACAAACATAAGTTGCTAATAAAGTTGAGTGAAACTGCATGTTGTCTGTGTGCCAAAGCACATTTTCATGTGTTTTCATTAATTTCAATGAAAAACACATCTGCCAAAAAATAGACATACCGTATATACTCGAGTATAAGCCGTCCCAAATAAAAGCCGAGGTACCTAATTTTACAAAAAAAAATGGGAAAAAGTATTGACCCGAATATAAGCCGAGGGTGGGAAATGAGTCAGCTACTGGTAGATACCAATAAAATTACATTAATATTTATTTAAAAGAAAAATAACCTAGCTCTGTAAGTGGAAAAGGGGGTACAGGGCTACATATCATGTACTACGGATCATTTAACCCATTCATATTAGCAGAGGATAATTGTAAATCTATTGTTCAGTGCACTCTATATGTAGTATATAGTACATGTACATATAGAGTGCCTGCAACAATACATTTACAATGATCCTCTGCTAACATGAATGGGTTAAATGATCCATAGTACAGGGCTACATACAGATCATTTAATACATTCATGTTAGTATCATTGTAAATGTATTGTCTGCACTGTATTAGCAGTATATACTCTATATAGAGTATATACTGCTAATACAGTGCAGACAATACATATATAATTGCTTAATAAATCTTTCCCCCCCCCCAATCTGCCCTCACTCACTGTGTCCGTGTGCCGGTGATCGATCATCACATCACGGAGAGAGCAGGGACGAGTCAGCGGCGCGCTGGTCCAGTGGGAGGAGCTCCAGGTGGGGTCCTAATTTAGCTGGCTCAGAGGTGCCTGCCCGCTAAATTACAACCCCACCTGGAGCTCCTCTCGCCTGATCAGCGCGCCGCTGACTCATCCCTGCTCCCCTGCCTGACTGGCCGCTGCGGGGGGGTTTTTCTTCTTCTTACTTACCTCGCCGAGCGTCGCTGCTGCTGCGGTGTGCGGCGCTCCGAGCGGGGTCATCTGGCAGTCTCCGGCCACCTAAATTAGGACCCGGAGACTGCCAGATGACCCCGCTCGGAGCGCCGCACACCGGAGCAGCAGTGACGTGACGCTCGGCGAGGTAAGTAAGATGACGCGCTGGCGCTGACTCGAGTATAAGCCGAGGGGGGCACTTTTCACCCAAAAAAATGGGCTGAAAATCTCGGCTTATACTCGAGTATATACGGTAACTTTTAAATCTGGCCCTAAAGTTTTAACTGCAAAGAGAACCTGCGTGGTCATAGAACTTGGCCAAAGCACCTGCAAATTAGGTTGGTATACACATTATTATATTTTATAGAGAGGAGGGTGCAAATGATAGGAGGACACACAAACCCCAAGCTGGGCTTTAAGATTATAAAATGGGAATGCAAGAAAACCATTTTGTTGCTATTGTGTAGTTTTGTAATAGTTCTGTTTGTGTCTCTCACAGCTCATATCTTCACTGTAAGTGGGCAACTCTTCAAGATCTGGAGAAAGATCCAAGGATCCAGCAGAAAATCAAGCGGTTTCGTAACAAACAAGCTCAGATGAAACATATATTTACTGAGGTCAGCTTAGTGTGTTTTCTTCACTTTATTTAACCTCTTTCCCATTGCTTAAGGCAGGAGTGGACACATTCAGGAGCCAGTCTGTCCAATCCAGGAGCCTGCAGGAGTTTCTTAGGAGCCAGCTGCATTGACGACAACTATATAAAAGCTCAGAAGTTAGGCGTCACCTGTAATATTTAAGGCGCTTGGCTAACTGGCTCCTGGGGCTTTTCCAGCCCTAGTTAATGGGAAGCTATAATGGTTTTGGGTCAATTTTTTTTATTTTATTTTTTTTCTAATTTTCTCAGTTTAAAGCTGATGTTTTATGATAAATATTTTGCGGTTTTATTTTTTAGCTTTTAATATAGGGTACACCCATGATATTTCTGTTGCAGAACATTATAGGGTTTCTAAAGATAGAGCACAGCTTGCCTTCAGACCTCCTCTCTGATTGGATCTTCAAATGAACATGTCTGAACACATGGGTTAGACGCATGGCAGTTCTGTAGACAGTTCTAAAGCTTCAATTGTTATGTAATGAACACAAAATATTCACATACCGTATTGCAAATGAACCTGACAAAAATAAATGTGTTTCAGTCCTGAACATAATGAACAGAGAAATAAAATAGAAAATATATAAAAACACACCTACATTTACTTTTAATGTTTTCACCCTGCCTAACCTTTTTTTGGAATTCAGTGATGGTTAATATCTTCATTTTTGATCCTTAGCCAGATGAAGATATGTTTAATCCAGACTATGTGGAGGTGGACAGAGTATTAGAGGTGGCTCATACGAAGGACTCTGACACAGGAGAGGTAGGTGGTAGATTTTGGACAGGACATGATGAAGCTAATGAGAGAATTTTGAGCTAGAGTCCATGGAATAGTATATGTGTGTCCCAAGGATGTTTGGATATAAAGCCTTCTCTTAGCGCATGCATTTTGCAAATATTTTAATATATATTTTCTCTCGTACACATATGCTTTGTCAATGCAGTGTAAAGATACAAGCTTAAAGTGTCAGTAAACTCAGGAGTTAAAAGAGAACTATGGGGTAAGTGTTTTTCCCCATAGTTCTCTTTAGGGTCAGGGGGCAGGGGGGACATATACTAACCTCCTCCCGTGACCCAAAGCTCAGTATATCGCGGGCTATTAGCTGCGATGTACTGATAGTGCCGCAGCCGGGGCGGAACCAGACAATACTTTTGAGATTCACCCAGCTGCGTGAGTGACAGCTGGCTCTGCCTATCTAGAGGCAGAGCCAGCTGTGCCCGCCCCTTTGCCGTTCGCTCTTCCAATCAGCGCTGGAGGATCGGAGGGGGGCGGGGGGGATCCCTGCGGGGAGTGGTGACTGACAGGAGATGATCGAGAAGTGAGCGGATCGGCAGCATGTTTCTGCTCACTTACCGATCGATAGAGCCGACCTGTGACAGCTTCTTTGTCACAGTCAGGTCTAATTATGAGGTTGAGTCGAAATCACTCACCTCATAGATCTTCCATTAGATCTTAAAAAAAAACATTCAAGTACCTTAACTATTCACAAAAATGTATCTTATTTGTGTATCACTTTGTGTATATTTGTGTATCACTCGGCTGTAGATCCTCATCTACTGTTCCCTATACCCAAACGGAACAGTAGATGAGCATCTGGCTGGAGGGTGTATCACTCAGCTGTAGATCCTCAAATCATCTCTGAATTTGTGCCGACACCATCCTTCCTTCTGGAGGGTGGCTACTTTTGTTCCCCTTGGTCCCTGTGTGTGTTGTAAAGTAGTCACCGCTCCAAGCTCGCTCACGAGATGAACTACAAGCTCATGGTTAGTTTACTAATTTGTATTGAGGTTGTAGTTCATCACGGGAGCAAGCTTGGAGTGGTGACTACTTTACAACACACACAGGGACCAAGGGGAACAAAAGTAGCCACCCTCCAGAAGGAAGGATGGTGTCGGCACAAATTCAGAGATGATTTGAGGATCTACAGCTGAGTGATACACCCTCCAGCCAGATGCTCATCTACTGTTCCGTTTGGGTATAGGGAACATGTGAGTCCTGTCCTCCTTCCAGTAGACCGAGCTGGTGATTGGCTGCTGCCGCATCCTAATGTGGGGGCAAGAAGGAAGTCTTTAGCCCTTTGTGCTAAATCTCTCTGCTCCCAGTGACCAAACAGAATGGCAGGGGAGCAAATGAAATGTGAGCCTATGCTGCTGGTGTGGCTCTAATTAAAATAGCCTATTGCCTTACCTTGTATGTGCAAGGAACAAATTCAATAAAAGGTAACTTGTGAGAATGAAAATATGGTAGTTGCCATTGCTGACTTGTTAATGGTGCAGCAAACATATGATCATTAAGGGAAAGCATAGAATATTTTTAGCAAGCATTTAGTTTGAGTTGTTGTAGTGTTTACATTTGAAGTGATCTTTTTATTGCGACACTATTCTGCAGTCTGTTGAATTAAATATTGAGATTTGTAAATTAGCCACTAATTGCTTAAAGGGAATATGTCATGAGATATGCATGGAGACTGCCATTGTTGACCTTTACTTCTGAAAATACTATTTGCCTTACGGACCTCCT